AGCGTCCTGTGTTCCCGGAGAGGAGGAGCAGGCAGAGCGGGATGCACAAGGCGAGGGCCGCAGGGAGTGGGCTCAGAGGCCGTGGCCCTGAGACGACAGCTACATTGGTACCACTTGTCCTGGTAACAAGGTTAGCGAGTGACGACCTGAGCCCGAGTCCCCTGCAGAGTGGCCAGGGGCACAGCCGGAAGGGCAGACAGAGCGGGCTGGCTTTTTGTGGACTGAGGGTCGCCTCTGCAGGATCTGAGTTCAGGAAGCCCCTCCCTGTGTAAGACATGGCCATTTTAAACTAAAGGAGGCTCTGCTGCGGCACCTCCCCATCTTCACTCCCACACAGCCAGTACCGCCACCCCCACCCCCCACGTGTAAACGAGCCTCAGTGTCCCCGCACAGGAGGAGCCTGTCAGACTGGGGAGCTGCAGCAGAAGGCAGGGGGTCCCCTGCAAAGTGGGGTGGAGGGGGAGGAGGCTCAGCCCTCTGGGTGCTGCCCTGGCTGGGTGGGTCTCAGGGTTCTGAGAAGCAGCAGCAGAGCTAGGCAGCGAGGGGACCCCCTGCCCAGTGTGAGCGGAGGGACACGGCAGGCACGCCCAGTGGGCCCGAGAGGATGTCTGGGATCAACACGGGCTTTTGGCCACCGGGGCCGCAAGTTTAAGCCTGGAAGACAGACCCTGATTCTTGAGCCAAATTGGAAAGTGTAGTTTTGACAAACCAATGTTGCAATTTTCCCTCCAAAGAAAGTCAGAGTGAACTCTGTGTACTGGTGAAGTCACTCGAGCCCGAATAGAGGTAGAAAATGTTAAAACTCTCCCACTCTCACCAAGGCAGCATGTGTACCACACACGAGTGGTACCCTGCTTCCCTGGGTTAGGCCTCAGCTCCCGATTGCTTCCCTGCCTTCTGCGGTCCTTCCAGGGGCAGGTTCAAAGGCAGCTTTGTGTGGCCTGGGAGCGACCATCCCAGTGCGGTGAGCTGCAGGCTGCTCTCCTGCACTCCGCCCTGCAGAGATGCCGGGGGAGGCGGGTGCTGGGTCCAGCGGCAGGGTACCGGCTCTGTAGGAATTGTTCACCTGCGGCTCATGCCCTGCGTCCCAGCAGGGTCCTCAGTGTGCTGCAGGCAGAGGGGTGTGGCCCTGCCAGCCCTGACATTCTGTGCCACCCTCGGATTGGAGTGGCCCAGCCTCCTCACCTCCAGTTCACCTTGAGACCGCATCTCCTGGGGGCTGGAGTGGCCACAGGGAGGGAGTTGGCCTGGCTGCCCAGTGGGCAGCGTCGGTGGGGAGCGGGCGCGCGGGGCGAGGCCGGCTCACCGTCGGGGAGGGACTGGCTCACCGTGCGGTCCGTCCCAGTGCCGCCCACGCCGCTGCTGCAGCTGGAGAAGTGCTGCACCCGGAACAACAGCGTCACACTGGCCTGGCGGATGCCACCCTTCACCCACAGCCCCGTGGATGGCTACATCCTGGAACTGGACGACGGCGCTGGGGGGCAGTTCCGGGTGAGACTCTGCTGCTTCTCGTGGGTCCTAACGCCGAGGCTGGGAGTGGGCTGACCGCTAGACCAGCCCACAGGGTCAGACCAGACACCAGCCGGAGAGGGCAAAGGGGGCTGGTCAGCCAGGGCCGGCAGGCAGAGGCGGCCATCATGGAGAATCCTGGACCGATTCTCCTGTGCTCAGTCACGCAGGTATGGACTGGGCAGTGTCCCTAAGGCACCCGTATGTGAATGCAGCTCCCAGTACCCCCAGCCTGGTCTTCTACACGCCCCCCCCAATCACACTCCCCTTTACAGGTTTGTCATACCCGCCCTGTCTGGCCCACCAGAGGTCCCACCCTGGGCGCTCTTATCTTGGGAGGGCCATATTTCTGGAGAGGAGGACCCACACCTGGCCGTTGAACACCTGCCAAGATGCTGGGCATGTGGAAGGTGCTCAATGAGTGGTTGTCGGCCAGGAGGCCAGCGTACATTGTGTCCGCTGACGGGCCATCATGGGGACAATAAAGGCTGGCAGTGAGCAGGAAATGTACCTCCCACCCACACATCCCCCCACTCCCTCCTTGCAGGGAAACCCAGGGCAGTTCTCCCCACCCCCAGACACCCCCCAGCACCGCCTCCAGGTTTTGCAGTGAGGCTGACATGACCACCAGGGAGCCCGAGCGCTGGTCCTAGCTGGACTCCTTTCCAGCCCGACTCTGCCAAGCACAACCAAGTCCTCGTTCTTGCATCTCTTCTCCTGGGCTTGTGGCCATTTAACAAACCTCACTAGAAGTCAGAATTCCTAGCTTCTCTCAAAGGGATTTACGTGTGTCCTTTCGTCTTTTGTTTGGAAGACACGTGCCTGTGAGGGTTGGAGAGACGGCTGCAACATCCCTCGGGATCTGCCGAGGTGCACGTGAACCCGGCCATGTGGGGATGGGGCTGGGCCAGGACCGGCAGGCCGTGGGTGGGGCAGGCCCCCAGCACTCCTGTTGTGCAGATGAGCTGAGAGCCCAGGAGGAGTCCAGTCTGAAAGAGGAAGGACAGAACAGACTAGAGACCGTGAGAGAGGCAGCCACAGAGCTCCAAGTGGTCTGTCCTCTGAGATGTGGCCCCTAGCAGAAGCCAGCTCCCAGCACTCGGTGACGAGGCGCAGGCATGGCGGCGAACGTGTGGGCTTCGCCTGCAGGTGGACACACTTGCACCGTGGCTCCTGGGCGGACGCCTGCCTTCCCTGAGTCCCCTCGTGTGTAAAATATGAAGACAGCAACAGCGTCTCGGGCTTGAGTGGGGTGAAAACGCCTCATACAGGCAGGCATAGGGCAGTATTGCCCATCACCTGGAATAACTGAAGCAACCCTACACAGCAGCCAGGAGACGTTCAGACCAGCCTAGCAGGGTGCCGACATCGGAGAAGTGAAGGCTGTGCTTTGGGGGTTTTAGGGAAGAGCAGCTTGGAAGCAAACAGGGAACACAGTAAACCTCTAAGGGCTTCGGGGTCCAGTCCAGGAATAAGGCACACCATCTGGGGAGGCTGAGGAAGGAGCAGCTCAGGGCCGAGAAATGGAAGGTGCCAATCTCAGGCGTGGGCAAGACGAGAGTCGATGTCTCCAGGACCTGAGTCGTGTCCGAGAGGGCTGACCCCACAGAGGCAGGAGGTGTTCAGGCAGCTACCCGGCATT